AGGCCTCCTCACTGGTTTAGAATCTATGGGTATGAATGGTTCTCAGAGGAGGCAAGAACCTGGGTTAAGAAGCCTATATCAAGAGTCAGGAGCCCTCTGCTCCCTGATATTTTGCCCATGCTTACCTGTCACTTCTTCCTTCTTCCTGAAAATCTCTGAAATTACATCCATGTCATTGAGGATGAAATAAACTTGCGCTTAACTACGGGTAACACACAACTCTCCTGATTCCTGTCCCTTTTTAGTCATTACTTCCCAACTAGTTGAACAGTTTATTTATAAGGGAAGTAATTTTGGTTCTTAATAACTGGACTGATAATATATATTGTAATATCTAATAATTTCACTTATAAAAGGTCTCTAACAGAATCACTTGCACGAGCATCTGAAATCTTTTCAGCTGCTGTATCAGAAAACAGCCACTAGATGGGAGACAGAACCCAGAACTGACAAGGCAGAGAGCTGAATTTTAGAAGTGCTGGGACAATAACTGAGTTAGAGTCCTGTGGTCAATAGGGGCAGTGGGTCCTGTGGGTGTGAGGGTAAATGTGTGAAATTAGTTCTCAGAGGCTGATTTTACACAAATGATCAAGTTCTCTGCAGTGTGACCACAGTGCAGTACAAGCTGTCTGCTGTAAGCACATTTGTCAGGGTGCCTGTGATCCCCACATCTTCAACTGATGTCAAGACTAAATTTCACTATGACGATTAGTTGATAGAGAGGATAAACCATCACTGAATGTGAAATGAGGTCCCAGGAGGGAAATTAGATGAGAATATAAAGAGACCAGGGAAACACCCTCTGTCCCCACAGGCACCACACAGGAGAGGCCTATGAGGAAAAAGGGAGGGAGGGACTCCTGCTGACAGGAGGAGGGTCTCACCAGAAACGACCGTGAGGGACCTAGACCTTTTATCTGCAGTCTCCCATAATGAGAGAATCCCGTGTGTGTGGTTTGAACACCCAGCCTGTGTGTTCCATGAGGGAGCCTGAGCTGATACTTCACACCCAGCACCCGCTGAGCAGGATCAGTCTCAGGGGCACCTCAGGGCATGGGGGCTTCACTGTTCTCCCCACTCTCACCCCTCACTGTTTCTACTGCTGAGGAATAAGAATCAGGATTCATTCTTGTCTATTTGGTTAAAAGTCTTACATTGCTGCTCGTAGGTGATTCTCCTGCAAGCAAAGAAATTGTGTCCAGCAGACACAAGTCCAGGGTCTCTCACAGCTCAATGTCAGACACCAGGGAAGGAGAGGCAGGAAGGAGCAGGACTTGAGTTGCTGTATTATGAGGGAAAAACAGGCAAATATTTCTTCTATTTTTTCTTATCAAGGTTCTATAGCCTTGTCACTAAGAGGGAGTTATATTTTCTCTCTCAAAAGGTTGTATATAAACATAATAAGTTCAATTCAGTAGGTCCAGGAAATGGAAATTTCTAGTACTTGTTTCTAACATATGAAGTTTACATTACCCCGATATCAACAGACAGCACTGGGTCTGTGCTCTGGAGAGATGTGACGAGAAAGTAGAGATGACACAGTGAATTAGAGGCTACTTTCTCATTTCTAAACTCTATTCTTCATTCCCATGATAAAGGTTTTATATATAAATCTAAAGTATTCAAGAAATGGCAGTAAGGAAAGAGAGTATCTTGGGGAAAAAATCAGGAAACAATGAAGTTGATTATATGTGAATGGAATGTAGCACTGTTTTCAATTCTTTTTTTATTTAGGATCCAGAGGTGATGTTGTGCTGACTCAATCTCCACTGTCCCTGTCCATCATCCCTGGAGAGCCGGCCTCCATCCTCCATCTCCTGCAGTCTAGCCAGAGCCTCGTATGTACTAATGGAATCACCTACCTGGGCTGGTTCTATGAAAAACCAGAATTCCTCCAAAGGGCCTGATGCAGAGTTTCTTATACTCAGGAGCCCCAGACAGGATCAGTGGCAGTGGGTCAGGGACAGATTTTACTCTTCAGATTAGCAGGGAGGAGCCTGAGTACACTGGAGTGTCTGAATTCAAGCACTTTATAAAATTTCCATCCACAGTGATGCAGCTCTGAAATGAACCTCTCCACATGGCCAGGGCCAGATGCCCACACTTGTTCTTTGCTGGTGAGCAGACAACAGTCTCTGAGTCATTGATAGAAAGGCACTGGGGGGTCTCAGGCACGGAGACTGCAGCTGGACCATATGAGCTCCTGCTACAGCAGACACCCCATGTTAGGGCCGGATCAGAGGCACAGGCCTGGTGTGGCAGAGCAGCAGATATTCAGGGGGCTGTGTGCAGTGAATGAGCTTCACAGTTGTAGTGAACCGACAGCTGATGGAAAGTATTCTCCTTGCCTTGTCCACATTTCTAAGGGAAATGCTACTACCTAAGTAGCAGGCGAGTGACAGTTTTTCCAAGAAGATCTTAAGCCATAATGGAACTACTGTGCTATGAACATTTGTGTAGTAAACTGCTTCACATGCAGTTGAAGAGATAAAGTGTTGGCCTGGCATGTGGTTGAATTGACCTGATCCCTGCACCCCACTGTGTTGCTCTCCAGGAGTGAGTCATGAATAAGCCACAGCACTGCAGGATATCTGCCCCAGACAGACAAACAAAGAAAAGTCCTTTACAGCTCCAAGATCCCAGTAATCACTTCCTCAGTCCCTTTTACCTCCTTCACTTGCACCTCCAGGGCTTCTCTCCTATGTCCCTGATGGAGACTCCAGTGTGTCTGCTCTTACTGGAAACATTTCTGCATAAGCTCAAATCAATCATACCAAAAAATAATCCAGAACTAGAATGCACGTGAGTGGATGAGCTGGAGCACATGTTTTTCATGTCTGAGTCCCTGGACTATATTTGTGACACCAACAGGTTAGACAGTGCATTTGGGCACTAATGTTTGAAATGTCACACTGGTTTCTAAAGCAGTCATGAGGACAGATGTCAGCAGTCATATCCACAAGCTCATGGCTTACGAGGCTGCTCACTGGTGCAGCAGCTGTGGGTCTCAGAGTGAGTCTGGATAGTTCTGGCAGGAGGTTTGGAGCTGGGTTTACGAGTCTACCCCAGGAGTCAGGAGCCCTCTGCTCCCCAACACACCCCCACTCCTCACCTGTCATTTCACCTGCAGCTTCCTCTTCCTTCCTGAAGATTCTTCTGAGATTAGATCCATGACATGTGAGGATGAAAGAAACTAGCACTTAGCTCCTGGTGACACACATCCCTCCTGAATTCCTGGTACCCTGTTCATGGTTACTTCACAGTTAGTTGAACTTTTTATTATAAAGAAAAATCATTTTTGCTATTGTGCTTACAGATTGGCCTTGTGTTGTGTATTATAGCATGTGTTTTAAAGACTGATTTTAAAAATCACCCTAGAATCACTAGGACAAGCATCTGACATCATTTTAGCTGCTCTATCAGAAAACAGCCACTAGTTGAGAGACGGACCCCATAACTGACCATGCAGGGAACCTGGATCTTAAAAGCACTGAGCTAGTGTCCCATTGTCAATATGGACAGTGGGTCCTTTTGGAATAATGGGAAATGTATGGAAGTAGCTGTCAGAGGTTGAGTTTTATGCAAATTATCATATTCTTGCTGTATGAGCAGAAGTCCAGTATTACCTGTCTGCTGGAAACATTAGTGGAGTTACCCCTTATCCACTTCTCCCCAATTTATATTGTGACATTATTTCATCATGACTGTAGACAGGGAAGATAAATCATCACTTACTGTAAAGTAAAGTCACAAGAGGCAGGATAACAAGAGAGTATAAAGAGACACCAGAGAACCCCCTCGGTTCCCAAAGGCACCCACCCCGGAGAATTCTGTGAGGAAAAGGGGAAAGAGGAGCTCCTGCTGACAGGAGGTCTCAGAGGAAGTGACTTTATGGGACCTTGGCCTGTCTTCTTCAGCCTCCCAGAGTGTGAGAAACCCTTGTGTGTTGTGTGAACCCCCAGCCTGTGTGTTCCTGTGAGGGAGCCTGAGCTGATGCTTCACACCCCTGGACTCTCAGAGCAGGGCTGCCTCAGGGGCACCTCATTTAAGTGGGGACCCCATTAACCTTCCTACGTTGAACTCTGACCACTCAGGCTTAACCTTTTTGTTGAGTCTGACCTTGCCTTTAGGATGAAGTTGTTACTTTTATTCTGATCAGAAACACCTCAAGCCAAATGGTTCTTGAACTGCATTTCTCGAGAGCCAGATGGCTAAATACTGTTCATGGTGACCATCGGGTCCTATGAACAGGATATGAAGGGCCCCCAAATTAATAAATGTTTTAAATAATTTTTTTGCAATAATATTTTGTTTGCTTTGGGGTCACACCTAGCAGTGCTCAGGGTGGACTCTGGTTTTTCCCTTTGGTGATTACTCCTGGCCCAACTTGGGGGACCGACCTTATGGGGTGTCAGGGGTCAAACTACAGTTGACCACACACAAAGCAAGAGCACTGCCTGCTGTGCTATCACTGCAGTACCCCCAATTAAAATTTTAATGTTGGTACTATAGAAAATATAATATTGGGATATCAGGAGAAAGAGACAACAAAATTTTCCCTGATAAAATGCACAGGAGTGAAATCAAGGAAGTGTGTACTTAGGTGAAATGCACAGCTGTGAATTAAAGGAATTTATACAGTCCTGAGAGTGTCTTTGAGGGTGTGGTCTGACAGAGGCTCTCTCTGGGGCAAAAAGAGCTAGAAACTGTATTCTGATTCTCAGGAGACCAGGAACCCACCCTTCTGTGCTCACACTGGGGCCCTCCTGGGGCCTGGGGAGGAACATGTTCTCTGTGGGCAAAGTTCTGCTTCCCCACAGGGACCCACACCCCTGACCTCCCTGCAGCTGGGCTGGTCCACACACACACACCCTTCCCCCTCTGCCTGCCCAGCCTGTCCCACCTCCTCTCATTTGCAAGTCCCCAGAGCTCATGCCTGGACACTCAATAATAGTCTGTGTCACCCTGCAGGGTCAGTCTCTATCACACTCAGAGTGGACATGAGGACCCCTGTGAAGCTCCTCAGCTTCCTGCTGCTCTGGCTCCCAGGTAAGGAGGGAAATGAGGGTTTACTGGACCTAGTGCTACCCGTGCTTCAGGGAGAATAATATGAAAGAAGATGAATGGCAACAATGTTTATATTTTCAATCCTAGATTCTTGGTGTGATATCCAGATGAGCCAGCCTTCATCCGTGTCTGCATCTCTGGAAAAGAAAGTCACCATCACCTGCAAAGCCAGTGGCTACATTAGCAATGATTTAGCCTGGTATCAGCAGAAAGCAGGGAAAGCCCCCAGGCTCCTGATCTATTATGCAACCAATTTAGGACCAGATGTCCCTTCCCGGTTCAGTGGCAGTGGATCTGGGACAGATTTCACTCTCACCATCAGCAGCCTGAAGCCTGAGGATGCTGCCACTTATTACTGTCAACAACATTGGAGTACTCCTCCCACAGTGATAAAAGCCAGAACATAAACCCCCAGAGATCAGCTGTGTGAGGCTGGGCTGCCCCACCTGCTCCTCCTGGTGCCTCCACTGCTGAGAGTATCTGACACAGCCACATGGTGATTCCACAGGAACGTTATGAGAGATGTCACAAGGAGGCTCCAGATACCCCAGTTCTATCCCCTCATCCTCATTCCAGGAACACAGACATGTTCATTCTGCTGACGTAATTCTTCATAAATAATAGAGTTTATTAAAGATGAGGAACCTGAGTTCTAATATGAGTTAGGGTTTATGCAAAGGAAAAAAGGTCTCTAGAAAAATTTTAGAAAAGGTTTAATATTAGCCTTTATTTATGTACAAAATTATATTCTCTACAATATTTATCAATGCACAGTTCAGAGAGATCCAACAGAGGGTAAGGCAGGTGTCTTGCATATGGTTGGGTTCTACAGTACCCTGGTCTGTCAGGAGTAATCACTGAGCACAGAGCTCATAGAACGTGGAGTTTGGACCAAAAATGAAAGAAAGAAAGAAAGGAAGAAAGAAAGAAAGAAAGAAAGAAAGAAAGAAAGAAAGAAAGAAAGAAAGAAAGGCTGGAGTGATAGCACAGCGGGTACGGCATTTGCCTTGCTCACGGCTGACCCGGCTTTATTCCCAGCACCCCATATGGTCCACAAAGCAGCGCCAGTTGTAATTCCTGAATGCATGAGCCAGGAGTAACTGCTGTGCATTGCTGGGTGTGAACAACAACAACAACAACAAGCAATAAAAGAGAGGAAGGAAGGAAGGAAGGAAGGAAGGAAGGAAGGAAGGAAGAAGGAAGGGAGATGAGGGAATGGGAGAGAAGTTATTGGGATAGAAGGATGAGGGGAAGGGAAGGGAAAGGAAGGGAAGGGAAGGAAAGGAAAGGGAAGGGAGGAGAAGGGAAGGGAAGGGAGGAGAAGGGAATGAAGGAGAAGGGGAGGGGAGGAGAGGGAAGGGGGGGAAGGGGAGGGGAGGGGAGAGGAAGGAAGGGGAGGGGAGGGAAGGGGAAGGGAAGGGAAGGGGAGGGAAGGGGAGGGGAGAGAAGGGGAGGGAAGGGGAGGGGAGGGAAGAGGAGGGGAGGGGAGGGGAGGGAAGGGAAGGGAAGGGAAGGGAAGGGAAGGGAAGGGAAGGGAAGGGAAGGGAAGGGAAGGGGAGGGGAGGGGAGGGAAGGGAAGGGAAGGGAAGGGGAGGGAGGAGAGGGGAGGGGAGGGGAGGGAAGGGAAGGGAAGGGAAGGGAAGGGGAGGGGAGGGGAGGGGAGGGGAGGGAAGGGAAGGGAAGGGGAAGAAGGAAAAGAGAGAAAAAATAAGTCATAGGATGCCCTTAGGTGCCACTACTGAGTCCTGCAAATCAAAAAATAAAACTTCCAAACACAGAGTCCTTCCTTACCCAGGATCCAAACCAGAGGCAAAAATCTCAAGTCACAGAGCTAGGGGGATATTTTTTATTTTCTTCACTATTTGGTTGTGGGGAATGACAGTCAGGGCTGCAGGACTGCAGGGCACCAGACCGCCTAGTAGGGCACCTCCCCAAACCAGCGTCACAAGCAAGGAAGTCTAAGCAAAGGTACAAGCCAAAGAGACAGAAATGAAATTCGGGAGTTTTCCTAACAAAATAGGAAACCTTTGGGACAATAGTGTTCATGTACTGATTAAGTTATTTGTTATAATCTGTCATTGTCTTATATAGTTAAAGAAAACATCATCCACACACTGTGGAACCAAGGAAGGGTTGAAAGTTTGTAAGGTTTAAACCCTAAAATTTTAAGTTCAATAATCTGAATGGTCATAAACCCCCTAATGTGTATATCCAAAAAATAAAATTACAAAGGGTCATGGGCTAGAGCGATAGCACAGCAGTACGGCATTTGCCTTACACGTGTCCGACTTGGCCAACATGGGTTCCATTCCTTCGCCCCTCTCGGAGAGCTCAGCAAACTGCCAAGAGTATCTTACCCGCACGGCAAAACCTGGAAAGCTCCCCGTGAGGCATTTGATATGCCAAAAACAGTAACAACAAGTCTCATAATGGAGAAGTTACTGGTGCCCGCTCTAGCAAATCGATGAACAATGGGAGGACAGTGCTATGGACAGTGTGGACAGTGCTACAAAGGGCCACGCTGTGGCTCTCTCTCGCTGCCTCCTGCATTCAGTAGTCTCACATGGTTCCCCCACCCCAGGGAGGCCGATGGCAAAGGAAGGATGAAGGAGGGAACGAGGGCCAGGCTGGTTGGTGTCAGTCGCAGTATATTCCCATCTCCATTCTCCTCTGATTTTCCCTCTGCTTCTGCCCTTCTGCATCCCCCCATCCTCCCTTGGACAGTGCTCCCTCATATTTCTCCTTCCTACTCTGTCTCCCCATTCTACTTCGTTCTCCTTCTGCATCCCCCAGCCCACTCTTACTGACTAGTTAAATCCCAAAGCATGAGGGGTTGGGGCTTACACATAGGCGTGGTCACACAGTTAACAGAGGTAAAGTCTCTCAGGGGAAGCTTCTCTAGGACAGATTCTCATCCAGCAAGACGACTCTCCTAAGGCAGAAATTCCAATTATGGGTGTGTTTCTCCTTTCCTTAGTCCAACAAATATGCATTCATAATATTAGTCATTTTGTATGGTGCAGTAAGATATACATTAAGCTTATAGACTTGCTCCCCTAGGCCATATCACTATAGATCTCAGACTACAGTGCTCAGGCCAGATTAGTCTTTTTCTAATCCTAGCAGGGTCCCAATTTCATCACCACTTTTTGAATCATGACAGAATTTGTCCATGATCAAGCTCTTAACTTAAAGTGAAGTATTGTGGCTTTTTGGCCTGGTTCATTTTGATGCCAGGGTAGTTCACAGCTTGTGATTAGTCCCTCATCGGGATCCTGCTTTTGGGGTGCTAGGAATTAAGGGCAACTGAGGCTTAAGTCAAGAAAGCGGATGCCTGGAAGGGAATATTATTCGGAGTCAATTAACTCCCAAGTTACACAAGCATAATATTAACTGTCTTCCTGTGTCTATAGAAAAAGGACATTGCTTTAAACTAAACTATGCAAAAGACATAAGTAGAGGAGAAAAGCAATATTTATTTATTTATTTTGCTTTTTGGTCACACCCAGCGATACATAGGGGTTACTCCTGACTCTGCACTCAGGAGTTACTCCTGGCGGTGCTCAGGGGACCATATGGAATGCTGGGAGTCGAACCTGGGTCGGCCACATGTAAGGCAAATGCCCTACCCGCTGTGCTATCTCTCCAGCCCTGGAAGGCAATATTTAACTTACAATACAAGTTCATTGTCCTTAGAAGTATCTGATCTTACAAGTTAACAGAGTCTGATTAGGGAATATGGTGATAGAACAGTTGAAGAGAGCACAGAGAAGTTACAAATAAGCAAAGAAATGGGAGTGACTCTGGAGCATTGTGAGGGGTCTGGCCCAAAAAGCCTAAGCTCCCTGTGGCAAGGAAGAAAGGACGAACCAAAGTTATCCTAAAATGTTTAGAGCTATATTCCAACAGCCTACGAGACAGACTCTGGGTTGAATCCCTTGTAGACCCTGGGATTCACAACCCAGAATCTGCGATGACAAATAGCACCTCCTGCGCGGACCTCTAGAGAGACAATTTTCTCCATTGTAATATATGTCTGTAACTGAATTTAAGTCTTATTGATGCATGTATAATCCCTATCTTTCTTTAAATATAGTAAAATGTAGTTCAACTTGCATGATCTTAATTGCCACTTTGGTATATAGTTTGAGAATATAAATGCAACCTCAGTAAAAGGTGTATTTATTTTATTCTGTGTCAAACTCCTTGAACATGTGTCACCATGAATTCAATTCATTAGGCCCCAGGGAAAGGCAATTCCAAATTCTTGATTATAACATCTGAAACTATTCACCTGATTACAACAGAAACAGAAAAATTTGACTTTCCCATGTCCATTCTAAATGTTGATACTTGGAGCCAGAGCCATATTATAGTAGGTAGGACAATTGCCTTGCACATAAATGACCTAGGTTCAAGTCCTGGCATCCCATATGATCCCCTGGGCACTACCAGGAGTGAGTCCTGAGTGCAAAGCCAGGAGTCAGCCCTGAGCATCGCCATATGTGACCCAAAAAAAGGGAAAAAAGAAGTTGAGACTCGGTACATCAGAATTAGGAGATTCTCAAAAGGGAGATATGGGACACAGATTTTTCTGTCAATTGCTTGTCTGGGATTGACCTAGACACATATTTACATGACTAGAATACCTGATAAATCAAAAATATACACACAGTGAGGAGCCCAGAGTGACAGTGCAGTGTTTAAAGAGATTGCTTTGCATGCAGCATCTCATATGGTCCCCCAAGTGTTGCTAGGAGTACTTCCTGAGTGAGGAGCCAAGAGTAACCCCTGAGCATTGCTGGGTTGGTCCCCAAGCAAGCAAACAAACCATAAAACTTAAAAAAAAAGAAACATTGACACATATCTGTGTTTCCCATAATTAGACTGAGAAGCATTCCTCCTTAACCACTACCATCCACGTTAAGTTAATGTTTCCACTGTTTTTCATAGACTAGAAGAAACATTCCTCACTTTGCTCAAGGGAAGCGACTTCTTCCTGGAGGTCTTTTCACACCAGTGCACCCACCCGTGTATTTGCATGCTATTCTTGGGGGAGGATCTATATTTGGACCGTCTCACATAAGAGTCAGCTCTGTCTTGCTTTCAGCTATCAGTTCTTCTCAGATCAACTCTCAAAATGAGGTTCCCTGCTCAGTTTCTGGGTCTGCTGATGTTGTGCATCCCAGGTAAGGGGGGCAGGGAGAACAGAAAGAATGGGTGCAGGAGGGGGGGCTTGGGGGACTCACTGGTCTCCTTGTGTGTTTTGTGTGTGTGTGTGTGTGTGTGTGAGTGTCAGACTGTGTGAGAGAGAAAAATCAGGAAAGTGGAGATAGCCCAGGAAGGTGTAGAGACTGTTTCCACATCCGTAAGGTCTCTTCATTCGATGGCATCCTTCTGGTGTAGG